AAAATTAATGATTAACAATGAATGAAGGAGGGATGGGAGAGGTGGAATGATAGTAAGTATTGGCACAGCGTCTGGTGTATCTATGCATAATATCCATGGCTCGTACCTTTTTCAAAAATATGTTATACAAAGAGTTGGTTGTTTTTTCCATTCGCCTTTTACCATTATGAGTAGCAATTTGTTTTGTGAAAGGATATGATTTAATATATGTCCAGGGCCTAGTTATGGTTTGTTTTGCACATGGGGGATATGATCAATAAGACTGATTATTTTCTTGGGGATATCTTCAGGATTTATGGTAAGGAGGGTGGCTTCAGGTGTTCATGGTGGGACAACCCCACAAGCTTGTTGTATTAATGCAACTATTTAATTTCATAGAGGGGCAATTATTGGGCATGACTACCAAATGTGTTTAGATATCATCCATTACTCTACAATAATTCCAGAGGGGAGGGGGGGAGTCTACTAGAACATATCTTAGATAACCTGGTAGGATCAACGGAACGTATATATATTAGAATTTCTTGTGGAGTTGAAAATGGGTAGTACAGAAGGAAACTTTTATGTAGAAATCTACAGCAACATGGGTAGGGTATTCATCTTCCACGGCTTTTCTAGTTTATTGTAAATGATCAGATTCTGATCAGTCATTTTAAAAGCACACTTAGGACCCCTAAATCACATTAGCTTGTTGTGTGTGAAAAGACTTTCCACTTTTTCATTTTACCAAAAGAGCTTATTTCTGTAGAAATTGGCTCTTTTATAAATGAACCTCGTTACTTCCCCGTGGCTGTCAATCAGACAAGCGGCCCTGTTGCTTGTTTAGTTCAGTGGAGCTAAACTCAAGATGCAGGTAATTGCTATGAGCACATGAACACATGAACCGCAAAGACTTCTCATTCAGCTGCATTCTGTGAAGTCTGTGATTGGACAGACACAGAAAATCTAAAAAGTCTGACCTGCACTGCAAGGGGAGGACTTACAAAGTATTCAGACACAAGTTTTGCAAGCTGTTTTTAAATATATCCCCAATGCACATGTTTTCAGTGTGGGTATATCTACTAAACAGATTTTTATTTTTCATTGGGAAGTGGCGTGTCCCTATAGCTATAACATGTTTATACAAAATGATAAGCAAGATACCACAGGAGCTCATGAACAAGGCAAAAGATAGAAGAAAAGTTAGTTGAATCCTAAAATTAATTTCTATTTATTCTGTAATATTTTACAATAACATGAACCTAACATGAAAATCATACAAAACAAAACACACAGCTGTAATAAGAAACAAGAGTTGTGGAGAGATCCCTGTGTGCATAAAGTTACCGCTGAGGATTTAGTACATACCATATTGTGGAATAGATATTTATTAGACATGTGCATTGAGAAAACAATGACCTTGTCCCAATCTATTCATTTTAAAACAATTCTGGTTTTGTCCATGTGGCATTTTGATTTGGACTAATTTTGTCCATGCAGCATTATTCTTATAAAATATTACATATAAATGTATATGTAATCTGATAGATTAAAACAACTAATGTTAGAGAAGGGGAGGGAGGGGGAGGGAGTGGGGTGTCATAAATAAATAGAAGATGTGCCTGAAAGTGAAAGGTTCAGGTTGGCTGAGAATAGCCGGAAAAAGTAAATAAACAGAGGAGAGTCAATAAGCTAGTTAAAAAGAAAAAGAAAAGAGTGAAAAACAAGAAAACAGCAGGGTGTGCAAGTATATAGCTGCATGTATGTATGTATATAAATTGATCCAATAAACGAGAATATTGAAAAATAACTATATAAGACATTAAGATTTGTGTTTGTATAAAGTTTTGGTATAGTGTGCGAAAGCCAGAGTCTATATTAAGTCCTTCATTTCTGGTGTTGAAATGTGGGATCATTTTCATCTCAAATGTCTTTCGTTCATGAGTGTTTGTAATTCCCTTTAAGAACTTTAATCCTGAGGTTTTGGATGGAGTGACCAGTCTGGGTGAAGTGATGACCAAAATGACCAACAAAGGCACAATATCCATTTTCCTTGTGGTTCCTTATTGAGTGTCTTTTTAGATTAATTCTGAGATGCACCTTAAGGTTGCTACATTGGAGAAACTTGCCTTAAGCTGCATCTCAGAATGAATCTACGCAGACACTCAATCAAGAACCACAAGGAAAACTGATATTGTGCCCCTGTTGGTCATCCCTGTTTTTTTATTTATTTTTTTATGTTAATTATCTTTATGCTACAACCTTTGTACCCTTAACATTCATGTTTTTCTGACTCCTTTAGATACCCTCAATGCCTTGATGATCAGGATGTTCTCCCTGTGCTTTTGTTTCCCTTTTTTTCCCTTTCCATCTTTTTCTTGTCTTTTCTTTAAGATTTTTTCTCTGTCTCTAGTTGCACCAATAAAACTTATTTAAAGGAACACTACATGTATGCCTGACCATATAGTGTTGAAACACTATCTACACTATCTAGTCCCCCTTGGTCCCTCCCTGCCCCCTCCACGCACCCCCCCCAAATATTGTAAAATCTTACTTGTATTTCAGTCTGCTACAAGCCAAACACAGCCCTGGCCAATCAGCATCTCCTCATAGAAATGCATTAAATCAATGCATCTGTATGTGGAAAGTTCAGTATCTGCATGCAGAGGGTGGAGACACTGAATGGCAGTCACACTGTGCAGGACTGCCCCAGGAAGCACCTCTAGTAGCCATCTGAGGAATGGCCATTGGTCATCCTTAGGCTGTTATGTAAACACTGCCTTTTCTCTAAAAAAAAAGACAGTGTTTACTGCAAAAAGCCTAGTGGCAATGATTATACTCACCAGAACAAATACAATAAGCTGTATAGAGACTATAGTGTCCCTTTACTATCAAAACATAATTTTTTCACTTTTTCTGTTTACATGCTTACAATAGTTGGTGAGAAAATTGGGAAAAAACTGTCTAAACATATTAGGTTAAAAGCATTTTTAAAGATCTTATCAGTGCCCGAGCTTGTAGTTAAATGAGTATCCTTGAATCATTTTCAGATGGGTGGAGGCAATATGTAGTATTTTAAAAATCTTATTAGACACTGATTTGGAGCCTTCTTTAAACATTTTCAATTACGTAGAGGCTGTATGTGTTTTCATAAAGATCTTAATGGGAACTAGCAATAGAAGCCATTATGGTCCATTAAGTAATGTAAAGTATAAAATCTGTGTGTTAAAGTTAGATCACAGTCATAGTTTAAGAAAATCGTTCAGTCGACTTCTTAAGACCAAAGGCACAAAATATTTATAAAAATATATGTATCCAAAATGTTAAATACTCGACTAAAGAATCTGTTAAACTGTGACACTGAGAAGACATTTAGTCCAGTTTGGTTCCTTTATAAGTCTTAACATTGAAATATAAACATGAAAGAAGTAAATGGCAAGTTTCATTTACTTTTAAGACAACTTGCAAAATTAAGGATACATTACCAGACTTGAGAAAAATATATAGTTTTGATGAAATAGATATTGAAGCAAAATAATAGAATCAGTTGGCAATTGCACTAAGAATGAATGTATTAAACATTATAACAATAGTGGCAAACTATGAAAAATTCACTAAAATCATATAGAAATGTAGAACACAAATATTGACTAATATATGAAAATAACAATCACACAATTACTGGATTACTGAATAAAAACCTAAAACTGATATCACTGCATTAATACTTTGCAATTATGTATACACAATTTGCATAATTGCTAATTAAATTTGCTTATTGCAAACAAATACATTATGCCAATAGTAACTTCTGAAAGTCACAGCGCATTGGCACTAAAAGCCACCACACTGTGACTTTCTCACAGCTACTAACGTTCTGTGTTCAGTTCTGTCAGAGCAGCTCCTGCAGGGATGGGGTGATGGGGTTAGCAGCCTGACCTCTGTTTCTGACCTGCTGCTGTCCAGGGAGGGTGAGTGGATGAAGAGTCCAACAGTTCTATCCCCTCTGCCTGTGCCTTCACTCACACAGAGCACAGAGTCAAACTGACTCCCTGTGAGCACATTGCTCATGAGCATTCCATTGGCTTCAAACCCCACAGCCCCATCTCAGGTTTCCAAGCCACCTGTAGGAGGTAATGAATAATTCAAGGAAGTCTAGGTTGATAGCAACGTCCACTCCCTTTTGACCAATTATAACACCAATATTTACAAAAGAGTTATAAAAAACACATTTATCTTTTACTTTGCGCCTGATACAGAAATATATTTTTACATGTGGAATGGTCACAATTTATCCATTTCATACACATCTTTCAAGACCCATCTATGATGTAATATTATGGACTTCCAAAGTTCCTTCAAAACAGCGAAGTTACTCTATTCCTGTTTGGACTCCCTTTGTGGCTAGCACTCTCACCTTAATAAATCAGTACAATAGAAGGCATGACAGATAGCTTATGGGTTATTGTGTTTATTTAGTTATAACCCTTGGCAGAGAATTGTGTATGGACTGCTAGTGGTCATTTAACATATGTAAAGGGTCCAAGGTCTAGGAAGAAATACAGGCAAATGGTGTGGGGCCGGGCAGTCTAGGAAAAGATAGATCTGTAGGGCAACATGTGTATATAATGTCCCACCTAACAGAGGGACACACTTGTGGGTGGGCCTCAAAGGAAGAATTTATTTTGCAAACCCTTTCCCCGTGATCTGTCAGGCACCTGCCTAGATAACCATATTAACTCGTTCAATGATGTAATCAGCCATATCGCCTTTTCTAAATGACCAGTTTATCTACCCACTGCACACATCACATTTAATAACAATCTATTTTCAGTCGAACAATGAATAATCTTTGCTGGGCGTGACATTCCTCACCAGGGCTGCCATCAGAAATTTTGGGGCCCCTGACACAGCTCAAAGTCTGGGCTCCCCGGTGCCTGCACCCGAGTCCGCCCAAAGTTCTGCACCCTTCCCCCCCTGAGTCCGCCCACAGGGATGCAGTGTCTGTACTGATTCTGGTGTGTGTATAGTAGATGTAGAATGTGTGTATTGGATGCAGAGTTTGTGTGTAAAGTGGATGCGGTGTGTGTTTAACGGATGCAGTGTGTATAGTGGATGCAGATTGAACATTTGTGTAATGTATGAGGTGTATATTAGATGCAGAGTGTGTGTTTGTGTAGTGGATGTAGTGTGTGTTTATAGTGAATGCAGAGTGTGTGTGTGTTTGTGTAGTGGATGTAGTGTTTGTGTGTATTAAATGCGATGTGTATAGTGAATGCAGAGTGTGTGTTTGTGTAGTTAATGTAGTGTATGTGTGTAGTGAATGCAGAGTGAGTGTAGTGGATGTAGTGTTTAGCAAATACAGTGTGTGGGTGTAGTGTGTGTGTATAGTGAATGCAGAGTGTGTCTTTTTGTAGTTAATGTAGTGTGTGTGTATAGTGGCTACATAGTGTGCGTTTGTGTAGTGGATGTAGTGTGTGTAATGACTGCAAAGTGTTTGTGTGTGTGTGTTTGTGTAGGTACTGCAGAGTGTGTGTTTGTGTTAGGAAGTAGTGTGTGTAGTGACTGCAGAGTGTGTGTTTGTGTAAGGATGTAGTGTGTGTAGTAACTGTAGAGTGTGTGTTTGTATAGTGGATGTAGTGTGTGTAGTGACTGCAGAGTGTGTGTGTGTGTTTGTGTAGTGACTCCAGAGTGTGTGTTTGTGTGATGTATGGGCGATTGGGCTGGTATGAGTGTGTGTTAGTGTATGAGTGTGTGTATCGTGATGTATGGGCATTGGGCAGTTGGGCTGTTGTTGGCTGTGAATGATTCACTTCCTTTCTTTTGGTTCTTTACTTCCTGTTCCTGTTGGTAGTTGGTGGAATGTTCGAGGGATTTGAAACCCTTTGTATCAAGGCTGCAATATGAAGATCCTGCTATGTATGTATTAATAAAGTGAGTACTTCGTTATACAGGAATTATTGGCTGATTTGTACAAAACATGTGGCGACGAGGATTCCTGGGACACAGTGCCTGTTAGATGACATGCTGGTGACAGGTAAATCAGAGGAGGAACATAAACAGAATGTAGAGGCAGTTTTGCAAAGACTTATGGAATATGGATTGAAGGTAAATTTGGATAAATGCTAATTCATGCAGGATCGTCTTGAATTTTGTGCTCATGTAATTGACAGTCATGGGCTGCATACAACAGATGAGAAGGTCAAGACATTACAGGATGCTCCAACTCCACAAAATGTGACACAACTAAGATCCTATCTTGGTCTGTTAAATTATTACAACCGTTTTTTTGCCAAATTTAGCTCATGTCCTGTACCCTTTACATCGTCTTCTAGAGAGTAAACGACAATGGCGCTGGACAGTAGAATGTGCTTCAGCTTTCCTTAAGTCAAAAGAACTAGTTCATAGTTCACGTCTTTTAGTACACTACAACTTGGAAAAGCCTGTTTCCATTGCTTGTGATGCATCACCTTACGGACTGGGAGCAGTCCTGTCTCATTCCATGGCTGATGGGACAGACAGGCCAATGGCTTTTGCCTCTAGATCGCTCACAGCTGCAGAAAAAAAACTATTCTCAAATAGATAAAGACGCTCTGGCAATAGTGTGGGCAGTATAGAAATTCCATCTTTGTATATATGGTCGACCCTTCACACTGCTTACGGACCATAAACCTTTATTGACAATTTTTAAACCACAGAAAGGTATTTCAATCACGACAGCAGCAAGACTTCAGAAGTATGCCTTAACTTTGGGGGCTTATCAGTATCAGATACTATATCGTCCAAACACTCTGCATTTTAATGCAGATGCATTCTCTAGACTTCCATTGAAAATGGATTCACAATTAACTACCACAGAAAGATCTACAATATATTTCAGTGAGGTGATAACAGCCAGAGAAATTGCAGAGGAGACAGCCAAGGACTCTTTGCTGAGGGAAATACTTGTTTTTGTACGCAAGGGTTGGCCACTAAAGACTCCAATACATCTCAAGTCACTCCAAACAAGAGCCAAACAAGAGCTCAGGAGTTATCAATTCGAGATGGCTGCTTAGTCTGGGGAGAAAGGGTGGTTATTACTTTTGTGTTAGATTATTAGTATATAGATTAGAACAGATTCTTGACATTTTACATGCAGGTCATCCTGGCATAGTCCGCATGAAGCAGAAGGCAAGAGATCATGTATGGTGGACAACCATTGATGAGGATATTGCCCGTTATGTTTCAGGTTGCACTGGTTGTGCACAAGCACAGCGTGACTTGCCACATGGTGCCATACAACCTTGGACCTGGCCTCTATCACCATGGCAGAGAATTCACATAGACTTTGCTGGACCAGTGGAAAATAAAATGTATTTGATTGTGGTAAATGCACATTCTAAATGGCCAGAAGTTCTATTCATGTCGCAGACCACTGCAGAAGCTACTGTTAAAGCATTACAGAAACTATTTGCAACATTTGGCTTGCCCAGAGTGCTTGTTTCAGATAATGGACCGCAGTTTGTTTCTGGACAATTTCAGGCTTTTCTCAAGGAAAACGGTATTCGGCATCATCCTACAGCACCGTATTATCCTGCTACTAATGGTCAAGCAGAACGTTTTGTTCAAATGTTAAAGGGTTTTCTGAGAAGTCTGAAAGCAGAAGGAAAGAGACCTGAACATCATTTGTCTGAGTTCCTTCTACAGTATCGAATTACACCTCATCCAACCACTGGACAACCTTCAGCATGCCTTATGTTAGGCTGTGAACTCAGGACAAAGTTGGATCTGCTAAAACCAGAGATTCAACAAAGGGTCATCCAGCAACAATCAAAGATGCAAGTCGGAAAAGCAGGCGTTGTTACCGGACAGGGGATTCTGTTTGGATGCGTGTATATCATCAGGAGAATCGTTGGAAAGAAGCAGTGATAAAGGAAGTTCTGGGGCCGGCGCACTATAAAATTTTAACCTCTGATGGATGTTACACACGGAGACATACAAATCAACTTCGACCACGTATAACAGACAACCTATCAAAGTGGGTAGGGCCACTCATGCAACCAGACACTGATATCTGGCATGGAGTTTGGCATGATGACATTTCTGAAGTCTGCAATACACCTGGTACAGAGGCTCATGATGTAATAGGGGATGATTTGGAGGAAATCCCCTATGAAACTGAGGAACAAGAACTGCCAAGCCACAGTTCAAGTAACCATGAGGCTGTGGTCATGAAAATACTGTCCATTCAACAAGAGAGAGAAGGGCCACAAACCGCTGGCAACCAGAAGATCCATTAAGGGACTATAGTCGGAGAAACTCCACAGTGAGAAGGTGTAAATGGTATCCTAGTTAGTGCATAGTGTGTGTAAATGTTAGTGAATAGCATGTGTAAATGTTAGTGAATGGTGTGTGTAAATGTTAGTGAATAGTGTGTGTAAATGTATGGGGCTGCAAAATGTAGGGGGAAAAGCCTACAGTTTTTTTTTTCCTTCCATTAATTGTATTGTTTTATTCCCCCCTCCCTGCATCTCACCTGTGGCCATGGAGGGGGGAGATCACGTTGACTGGAGGTCCTGGGGAATGGTGCAGCCCCCCGCTACCTGTATTCTGCAGGGGGCCCAGCACACTTGAAATATGCTGCCCAGATGCTCTGCTCTGTCTGAGTCTTGCAAGACGTGCGGAGCGTTGACATGGTTACCTGTGACAACGCTCTGACGATCGCTTCGCTCGTGAGACTTCGACAGAGCAGAGCATCTGGGCAGTATATTTCAAGTGTGCTGGGCCCCCTGCAGAATACAGGTAGCGGGGGGCCCGCAGTGCACACATATATAGCGTTAGTTGCTATATATGTGTGCACATAGCTAATGTGGTGCCCGGGACGCACTTAGCAGTCCGGGCCCCCCAGGACCGCCGGGCTCATGACAACCATTATGGTTGTCATGCCCTGATGGCAGCCCTGTTCCTCACATTCACACACTCACACAGCACTAATACACTGCCACAGACACACATGCTGTCACACTACATACGGTGAGCATAGGAGTGTGCATGGGGGGTTTGGGGTATGTCCAGCCACACTCTAATGCAGCACGAGGGCCGGCTGCTACAGGAACCCGCAGGGAGAACGAAAGATTCCCCCTGCTGCTTTCAGCTAAAATTCTAAAGCTGTAATGAGACAGAAAGAGGTCATGTGTACAGTTGCCCAGAAGAATATTGTTTCTGTCTCCTTATAATTGTTAGTGTAGGACACATCTAAGAGGATTGCCTGGACACAGCAGGTGAAATTACACTTTAATGGTCATTACAATAGAACTGAAAGCCTCCGCTGATATAAATGTGTATTAGAATTTGGGATAGGGCACAGATAACTTTTCTTTGGTTTTGTTATTTAAAAGTTTACCTACGGCTGGTTTTCTTTTATCGCCTTTCCTCCTCTTCTCCTACAACGTTCTGTAAATGTTTCATACACATGACTGCTCAATCAATGGAAAAATCTTAATTTTTCATTGAAAGAGAACAAGTATTAAAAATGCCCACTCCAACTCATTTTTGTTAAAAATTAATCTTTATTTATAAAATATTCATTCCATTACAACAAAAGAGTGAGTGTATGTCAGTGTATGCGTACCTGAGAGTGTGTGCTTGTCATTGAGTGTGTATGTGTCAGAGTGTGTCTGTCAGTGAGTGTGTGTGTATGCATGTGTGTCAGTGTGTGTCTGTCAGTAAGTGGGTGTGTCAGTGTGTGTCTGTCAGTGAGTATGTGTAGGAGTGTGTGTCTGTCAGTGAATGTGTGTGTATATGAGTGTGTGTCTGTCAGTGAGTTTGTGTCAGTGTGTGTCTGTCAGTGAGTGTGTGTGTGTGTATGCATGTGTGTCTGTCAGTGAGTGTGTGTGTGTCAGTGTGTGTCTGTCAGTAAGTGTGTCAGTGTGTGTCTGTCGTGTCAGTGTGTGTGTCAGTGTGTGTGTGTCAGTGCTGTTGTGTGTCAGTGTGTGTCTGTCAGTGAGTGTGTGTGTCGTGTGTGTCTGTCTCAGTGAGTGTGTGTGTGTGTATGCATGTGTGTCTGTCAGTGAGTGTGTGTGTGTCAGTGTGTGTCTGTCAGTAAGTGGGTGTGTCAGTGTGTGTCTGTCAGTGAGTTTGTGTATGAGTGTGTGTCTGCCAGTGAATGTGTGTGTGTGTGTACGAGTGTGTGTCTGTCAGTGAATGTGTGTGTGTGTGTGTGTGTATGATTGTGTGTCTGTCAGTGAGTGTGTGTGCCAGTGTGTGTCTGTCAGTGAATGTGTGTGTGTGTGTATGAGTGTGTGTCTGTCAGTGAGTATGTGTGTCAGTGTGTGTGTGTCAGTGCATGGGTGTGTCAGTGTTTGTGCCAATGACAGTGTATCCATCAGTGAGTGTATGTCAGTCCATGCATCAGTGAGGGTGTGTGTCTGTCAGTCAAAGTGTGTCTTGGTCTTATCCAGGAAGGTGTGAAGCTTTGACAGAAAGTGGTGGGGTAAATTTAACTAGGGGGCTACTCGATTTTAGTCACCACTGGTTGTAGAAGTCTTGTGGTTGCATTCCAGGTTGAAGCAGAAGATAAATGATGTTAGGGAGCACTCCAGCTGATTTTTTTTTCAAACTTGACTTGATGTGTCTGCAGTCCAGGTAAAATCTTTAAACATATCCTGTTGTTCCTGCAAAAGTTTCCATGGATATTGTAGAGGTCTTAAATATATCTCTCCTGGGATAGCTATTTCATAGCTGACATCTTGGATGGTTGGAACAAATGGGGGTTCCATTTGCTTTTCTATCAAGGCAGTCCAATCAATGCTCTGTTAAAAAGATAATTTAAGATAATTAATATGTGCCACTGTATAAATCAGGAAACTACCCGTACAGAATGACAGAACAATTTCCCTACAAGCTAAATTCTGTATAGATCCCAATGAGATTCACAAATAACCGTTGCTAAAATTAACCTTAATTCACCAGATTATAAGGAAAATATTTTGCTAAGGTGGATCCAGTATTAAATAATCTTACCAGGAAAAGTTAAAGGATCTGAACATGTATAGCTTGGAGGAAAGACGAGACAGGGGGGATATGATAGAAACATTTAAATACATAAAGGGAATCAACACAGTAAAGGAGGAGACTATATTTAAAAGAAGAAAATCTACCACAACAAGAGGACATAGTCTTAAATTAGAGGGACAAAGGTTTAAAAATAATATCAGGAAGTATTACTTTACTGAGAGGGTAGTGGATGCATGGAATAGCCTTCCAGCTGAAGTGGTAGAGGTTAACACAGTAAAGGAGTTTAAGCATGCGTGGGATAGGCATAAGGCTATCCTAACGATAAGATAAGGCCAGGGACTAATGAAAGTATTTAGAAAATTGGGCAGACTAGATGGGCCGAATGGTTCTTATCTGCTGTCACATTCTATGTTTCTATGTAAGGGAACTATCAGAGCTCGGCTTGATTGCATTTAAATGCAGGAACTTCTGGGACACTGGGCATTATTTTTAAAGCACAACTAACAGATATCGTTTATTTAGCTATTAGAAAGTGTCTTTCCCTCTTAAATTAAAAATCTACTTTAAGCTAAAAAAATGTATTGTATGTCTTAGCATCCATGGTTGCCTTGATGCGGCAGGTGGGCATTCTTTCTAATGGCCATTGGAGTAACTAAATGACCTCCATTTGTTTAAATATGCAAAGGGGTTTGGCAAAGAGCGCAGGTAACTTTTTTCCGTTGTTTTTTACTGTATGTACTGAGGCTGATGTGTACTATGGTCATTGCTGCAGCCCAAGAGTAGTGGGAGTTTGAGCGCAGGACTTGTTTTTTGTATTTGTATTTACATAAACAGACGTACTTTAAAGAAATTATGGTTCTTTACATCTTCTGCATTTCTCTCGCCTCCTCCCAGACGAACCTCTGGATCACTTGTCAATAGCTGTAAAAGGAATTTAAAAAATAACATAAAGATAATGTTATTGGGATTGATAAACATCAGCATTCCCTGCAGGCAAAGTAAAAGAACTGGTTACTGATTGCTGTTTATTTAAATTTATATGATGATCCACATAAAGTACTAACCTGTTTCATTACAATACTAATCGAACATGTTTAATTGTTACAATATAAATAATATATATAAAAAAAAACACTGTCCCCTCTTTCAAACCCCCCGCCCTCCCCTCCCTTTTTTAATACTTTCTAAAACAGTACATGGTATCTGACAGATATTACAAAAAAAAGGAATAGGAACCACCTGAGACTGGAGAGAGAGTTACTGATCAGAGACTGTATTCCTGGGTCTTTTATGAACCATTTAGTCACTGCCTTTGGTACCTTTGGAGCGTTCTGATCTAAGAATTCATCTGTCCAGGGGCAGGTTGCCAAGGATGAATTTATACTCATCATTGGTAACTGAAAACATTGAGCTTGGCTGACAAATCTATCCGAATTAGAAATCATTAATATGTATAGACAACTCACCTGTTGAATTATTGAGATGGATGTTTCAGATGCAGACGTTGGGAATTCTATATCGCTGCTGTTCATATAATAGGTATACGTGTATTTCTTAAGGTCAAAGGGCGACTAAAGAAAAAGTACATTAAACAAGTCAGGTTTAGTTTGTAAAGTAGAGAGAACAAGGTTGTCATTGCAAACCAAGTGTATTAAAGGTGACAGGGATATATAAAGATCTTTGTTGTCTGACGAGCTCATTATTTGTCTCTTTAGATCAGACTTCACCAAACTCCCTCCAAATGTTACTGAACTACAACTCCCATGCCTATCTATTTCATTCATAGAATCATGGGAGTTGTAGTTCAGCAACATCTGGAGGGCCGGAGTTTGGGGAAGCCTGGCTTAGATAAAGGGGTGGATAGACTGTATTATGTTTAATAGTTTTCTTTTCTTTTAATACTTATATTTGATATTTTATTCTATTATTTTGTGAGTTGGGCCATGATAGCTTTTTGGCAGTAGAAAGACAAAAGAAAAATCCAATCTTCAAGGCGGTGAAGGTAGGGTATCAATTTATGGGTTGGTGGCTAGGTTCTTGGGGCTCTTTTGTAATCCGGGGAGATGGATGAGAGTATTTATTAGGGTCACAAAGATTGGGAACCCTATCATCCAGAGTATTTTTGTTACAAAAAGATATAACTGAGTACATGTGTTTTTTTTTTCTTTTATTTGAACCATGTATTAAGTTATGGTCATTAGTACAATAAAAAAACAAAAAACATTAACACTCTTATCGTTAAGACATATAGTGTAATGTAGTGAGGCGTTCTTAGGTAGCCATACAATTTTATATAGAAGGTACATAAGCTCAATTATAACTGTGATGAAATCTTAACATTTTGTCAAAAACATTATATAAGGAGGTTAAACACAAGTAGTACATTGGTGTCTGAAGACACAGTGCTGTGGAATGGGGTCCTCGTGGTTTGATCTACTAACACTTGGGTAGCAAAGGAATAGTGGTATATTATTATTATTATTTTATTTTATTATTTATATAGCGCCATCAGATTCCGTAGCGCTGTTCAAAGGGTGGACTAACAGACACTTAATTGTAACCAGACAACTCGACGTACAGGGTAAAAGTAGGGGTACGAAGTAAGTTGTTAGAAACGTATTCACTGAGGGCTTAATAGGTAATTTTTGACAGTTGCAGGAGAGGAGTCATGGAGGGTGGGGGATGAAAACCTGCTAACAGTTTAATTGATATGCTTTCTTAAAGAAGTGAGTTTTCGATGATTTTTCGAATGAGTGGAAACCGGGTGAAATTCTTACGGAGGAGGGAAGGGCATTCCACAGAAGAGGTGCAGCCCTAGAAAAGTCTTGGAGGCGAGCGTTAGAGATGGGAGTACGGACAGAGGATATACGTAGGTCTTTGGCAGAGCGTAGGGGCCACGACGGGACATACTTGTGTATTAGGGAGGATAGGTAGGTTGGAGCAGCATTATGTAGCGCCTTGTAAGCAAGGACCAGAATTTTAAATTGAGTCCTATATTAACTGGGAGCCAATGCAGGGACTGACAGAGCGGGGAGGTGTGGGAGGTGCGAGCGGACAGGAGAATGAGCCTTGCCGCCGCGTTCATTATAGATTGCAACGGTGCAATCTGGGAACACGTAAGACCACTGAGAAGAGTATTGCAGTAGTCCAGGCGAGAGAGAACAAGAGCATGGACCAGCACCTTAGTCGCATCCGAGGTTAAATATGGGCGGATGCGCGCTATGTTTTTGAGATGGAAGCAACATGATTTGGCAATTGATTGGACATGAGGGGTGAAGGAGAGGTTGGAGTCAAAAAGAACACCCAGGCAGCAAGCCTTCAAGGTAGAGGTGATGGTGGCGCCGTTGACTTGGAGGGAGACAGACACGGGAGTAGTAACACTTGAAGGAGGAAAGATCAGAAGTTCTGTTTTGGACAGGTTGAGTTCAAGGAAGTGAGCAGTCATCCATTTGGAAATCGAAGAGAGGCAGTCAGAGACACGAGTCAAGATGAGAGGACAGGTAGAATTGCGTGTCATCAGCATAGAAATTATAATTGAAGCCAAACGAGCTGATGAGTATACCAATGGAGGCAGTGTAGATAGAGAAGTTGGGGACCAAGGACAGAACCTTGGGGGATGCCGACAGAGAGAGGTTGGGGGAAAGAGGCAGACTCAGAGAAATATCTACACATTTGGTATCTAAAAGGTCCAGATAGAGAGAGCTAAGTGAGGAGGTATATTTAAAGGACCACCCCATACCCCAAAAGCACTTTAGCTTGCAGTGCTTTATAGGTGAGGAGTAGCCCAGTTTTACCCCAGTTTATCAAAGTGTTGATTTCTATCAGCACTTTTATAAATTAACTAGGGAATCACCCCATGGCTGTCAATCAAACAGCCACAGAGGGTTAATTTGTGTGTATGTTTTATATATATAATAGGTTATACCCATACACACACACTTTTTCCCTGACCCCTACACACCCACAAACTCACTAACTGGTCCACGCAGGCACACTATACAGACACATTACAAGCAGTTGCACGGGTGGCTTTCTAGCCTTTCTTCCTTCTCATGCATGAGTGTCAGCCACCGGGATATGATGTTATTCTGAATCCCGGGAAAGCCTCAGTTCATTGTGAAGAGCAGAAGGCAGCTGTCACTCCTCGTATCCCCCCATTGCTGGCAGCCCTTTACAACTACATTTTGCACAAAACAACTTTTCACCAGCTATAAGCTACAGCAACCCACTGAGAAATTTACTGGCGGTCCAGTACGGCCCTGGCAAACATGTACTACAAGCAATAATTTGTAAAAATGGCCAAATAGAGATTTTCAAATTATGGACCATCTATAGCTGTGTGTCATTCATCCTGATGGGGTCACATTGCTAGATAACTGATGTGTTATTGGTTTGCTAAATGTGGTGAACGATTTTATTGCTCAGAACATATTTACATAACATTTATTTAGGTTTTCAAACAGGAATATGTCTGCAAATTCTTATGAAATGACTACTCTTACCATTCCAAACAGCATTCTGTAAATAACCACTCCAAGGCTCCACCAATCAACTGATCTTCCATATGGTTCTCTATTCAATATTTCAGGAGCCATATAGGCCCTTGTTCCACGAAATGACCTGGTTCTGTCCTTGAGTCCCATTCCTCCGAAACAGAAAAGATCATTATAAACACACTGAAGATAGATGCTCAGCTTCAGCAAATATGTGGGGTACAGTATGATTCAGCAAACTCGTTTGTCGATAAAATATGCAGTAACCTTTCACTATTAACAACAGTTGATAACAACAATTAGTCTCTTCAATTGTAGAATTGAAGAGACTAATAACCAGCACTTTTCCGATCTTGCAGTTTTTTTTTACCATGTTACCGTCAATAACGTCTGGTCGCAAAGATACAACCAAATGCAGATTAGACACTTTCTGGTAAAGGACAGAAACACATGCTGTGCAAGTTGTCACCAGAGCAACAACACCTTGCGGTAAAAAAGGGCTTTGTCCAGTGGAGCTAATGGAAACCCCACTGGAGGCTGTGATCAGTGGATCCCAGAAACATTGTCAAACCATTTGTAAACTCTTTGACTAGTTAAAGGGAGCCAGGGCACTCCTGGCACTATAACCACTAACCCTTTAATTAATTTATCAAAAATTATGTTAAGTATAAAATTCTATTTACCTTCCTTACTAAGACCAAAATCTGTGATTTTGGCAAAGCCTCCGTTGTCTATTAATATATTCTGCAGCTTCAGATCTCTAAATTAAAGTAAAAAGAGGTTTTATTTATTTTTATGTATCACTAGAGGTTAAACACAGAGTTACCACTTTTTTCCATTTTTTTGAAAAAAAAATTAAGAAATTAAAGGGACCCACTAATCACCAGTTCAATTTTAAAGCATTATTAAGTTTTATTGCTAAAGATAACCAACTATTTTTTAACAACGTGTTGCAGCATTTTAACCCTTCAATTCTGCATTATCAAGTTGGCTGCAAAGGGGGTGGGAGGTCTGTGGCTGGGTTAGGCCCATTTTTTGTCAAACTGATCTAAAATTATTTAGCAAAAAAAAAAACAAGGGACTTCATTCTTAGACACTTGGTAATATAACCACGATACAGAGCTGTAGTGAGTTTGTTGCTTAGATTGTCCTTGCAACAAACAATCAAACCAAAAAAGAAACAGGTTAAACCCTGCTAGGTATGGTAAATAAATGATCACTTTGTGGGGACCTCATTCTTTCACTTTTCTTATAAACTTACCTGTGCATAATGTTGTGCGCATGTAGAAATTCCAGCCCCAAGACAACGCATGCCATATAAAACCTGTGGAAAATGAATGAGTCAATTACAAAATGCAATATTGGTAGCACTGAATGGTTCTAATCCACATAGCCTGTGATTCCGTGCTCGGCCATGATGAACATTCACCATAAAGTCTCCTGTAGTTATATATTATTTTATGACTTGGAATGAAGGTGGCTGGTACTTGATCATTTAGCACTGGTGTCACTCACCTCTGTCTATGTTTTGAAAACTCTTATGAATAGGACAGCAGACAGCAATGCAGGTGGCTAGATGTTACAGCCATGATGTGTATATGCCCATATATAGCGAGCACATATAAAGATACCGCAAGTGACACAGAGCACCATATACAATAAATACAATAATTTTTATAAGAATGTTTGGCACTCCTAAAGCTAGCGGATCCTAAAGTTTTGTATGCAGGTTTAGAAATTAAGTCACAAAATTACTAACCAAGTGAGGGAGTTTAAGCATGCGTGGGATATGCAGAAGGCTCTCCTAACTATCAGATAAGGCCAGGGACTAATGAAAGCATTTAAAAAAAAATGGGCAGACTAGATGGGCCGAATGGTTCTTATCTGCCGTCACATTCTATGTTTCTAGGTTTACTCGTACTTACATAGTTGTATTTTCAGAAATCGTCTCCTTGTCATTCATGTAGTTTAGCAGGTCTCCACCAGCAGCGTATTCGATAACAAAGAACACATGTCTGTTGGTCTGGAAAGTCGCAAGGAGATGTACCAGAAATGGATGATTTTGACTGGTTGCTGTCATAAGAATGTGCTTTTCCGACCTGAGCCTATAAAATAGAGGGATAAAAATCCAAGGTAAACACATTTTATCATTAATGACAAAATAATGATGAAATAACAATTTCACACAAAAAAAAATAAACAAAGATTTTGAATAAGCTCTGTTTACTGACCTGTGAACCATGTAATTTGAAAGTAGCAAGCCTTTCTCTATGGCTTTAATTGCATACAGTTTCTTTACATCTATGTGCTCTGCAAGAATGACCTGAAATGTAAAACAAAGTCATGTTTTACTGAATTTGTTAGGACTACTTTTATATCTAATTATAATTAGAATGCACTCTTAAAACGTACCTTTCCAAATGCCCCTTCACCAAGGACAGAGTGACAGTGGAAATCCCCCAGAGTCACTGAACGTTTTTGATGAACACTGTGAAGAAAGGAATACATTAAGCAAAAATAAAGATATTTAGGTACTAAAACAAAATGTTCCTGTAAGACACAATAGACATATTAAAATACCATTCAGTCTTGGACACTTCTTCGGACTCGTCCTTAAGGTCTTCTTCACCCTGTGGTGTGTTCACAAACTCTTCCTCAACTTCTGACATACATTCAGGTAATTCTATAGACTGTTCTTCATATGATGATACTTGTTCCACCTGTTCATAATGTGGATAATGATTAAAGAGTAACGCTAAGCATTATCATTTTTAAGTGTCTGTAGTGGTTATAGTACCTAGCGTGCCCTGGTGCTGTCTTCTGGTTTAATGTCAAACAATGTATCAATGGTTTGACTTCAACTGGGATCTTTCCAGCTCCTGGTTATCATCCTTTCCCCAGCCACCTTGATAATGGAATACTAACAATTCTGCATTGTAAATGTCTATGATATCCAGTCTAGAGGCCATTAAGTGGCTTAGAGTGTTGAGTAACATGCCCCCAGCACTCCCAGCCAATCACTGCGAGTTAGGTTGTACTCAATAGATAATGATAATAGAAATATTGGTGGCCTAGTACAGGTGGTCTGTGGGTGCTTTGTAAAGTTCATTTTTTTGTCAAACCACTTAACAAAGATGTGGCAAAGAAATGTGGCAAGGCACCCAGATTGTACAGCTACACTGATCTGCAATGGTTAATAAGGCACGCAGAACGCTCCATTAAAGATGATGTTTGCATGAAGGGAGTGAAACAACATAAAAAGTCAGTATATTTTGTAGTATTACCTGAGCCAGTATGTATGAATTTTGTCGCCGATAATCACATGAAGGTAGAGAAGGTGACAACTCAACCTCTGGATCCGGCCGGAGACTTGGTATTGAATAGAAGGTAGTAGAACTGCTTTCATAATAAATAAATAAATAAATTTAATCTGGTCGTATTGTTAAATTATATCAGATTATCTCTCTACAGTCAATATATTTTATTGGAAAAAGCAAAATATTAAAGGGACTATTTGTAATTCATGTTGCAGTTTGCTGGGCTTTGACAAAGTAGACTTTTGAATTCCGCAGTGTGCACCCCCTGTGTGAGATGAACTAATTATGGCCCAGGTCACAAAAGGGTTGTTTTGATTAAATAAAGGGTTACTCTAGGCACCATGACCACTTCACTGATTTAAAGTGATCATGGTGACCCAGGACATACTTGAAAACGAGAGAAATCACAATGTATCCATCCTGGTAAAATATTTTATAAATACATACATAAATGGTGCTTGGGGTCTGTATATGCTGGGTTTCACTATGAAATGCTAAACATATGGAGATTAATCCTTCTGCTGTCAGAATTGTAACTGTACCCCCAGTAGCTTCATTAGGTCATCACTAGTCAGTACAGAACAGAACTTCCATATGGCTAATGGGAATTCTCTGCAAATTTTTTATCTGGACAGACAGGTTATGGCAACACGCCCCCTTTCTTTCCAAGCCCCGAGTGGAAGTTACATCGGCTGAGGAGGATTGGACTGAGGGACAGCGTGAGAGTTTTGGCAATATTCTTTTTTTTGGTGGTGGGGACCAGCAGAGCAAGGATCACTCTAACCTTTGGCTGAAATAACCCTATAATGGGTTTCACTCCTGCAGAGAATGAATTCCACAAAAATATGGCAACATGACTTGTCACAAGAATAAACTACAGATAATTTTATCATATTGTATCGATATTTGATATACATTATAAAGCAGTAAAGAAAACACGTCTTCTCTCCCCGTCATCCCAACATTACTTGTGTTTTATCAGACAGTCTCTAGAGGCAGACTTATTACATAAATCAAATGTGATGAAGAAGAAAACTTAGAGGTTCTAGGGCCTGATGATATTGGGGAGAAAGATTCAAAGTGAATACCCAGATGACGATGATTCTGGACGCTGTAATTTCTCCACTGATAATGAATCAGCGGCAGTATAATAAGTCTCTGATGTAGATGTTTCATCTGTAAAAAGTGTGACAGAACATAATATGGACATGATGAACAAAGATCAATAATATTCTAAATATCAGACTAGATCTATGTGAACGTTAATTGTATAAATTAATCATTAAATTATTATTGTTACAATAATGTGTATAAAGAAATTAAGTCAATCACGGCAGTTGTAAAGGGGACACAATGCCATAAAATCAATCTAAATGAGTGGTGCGCTTAAAACAGTGCTCCTCAACCCTCTCCTCAAGGCACACCTAACAGTCCAGGATTTAGGGATTACCCAGGGGAGTCTAAGATGTTTAGAAAAAAACTAAAAAACTAAAAGCACCTGAGACTCTAAGGTGTTTTTTTTTATTTTTCTGAACACCTTAGACACACCAGGGTAATCCTTAAATCCTGGACTGCTAGGTGTGCCTTGAAGAGAGGGTTGAGGAGCACAGCCCTAAAACACCAAATATAAAATAAAGTATTCAGTGTTTTTTCAAGCTATCAAGATATCCGGATATTTGATATAGTATGAATCTCAATAAAATACTCACTAAAAGTGCCTTTTAAAGAGTAAACAGTGCAAACCAATATATGTATCTCAAAAAAGTGTAATATTTTATATGAACAACAGATTCTTCAAATATATATATATATATATATATATATATATATATCTCAACGTTTCAGTTTACATGAATAATAGAGTCGAGGTTTCAGTTTACATGAATAAACTTTCATCGTAATGAAAGTTTTTTCATGTGAACTGAAATGTCGATTTTTATTTTGTAAGAATTAAATAAAACAGGGGTTCTCATCCCAGTCCTCAAGGACCCCCTACCAGTCCGGGATTTAGGGATTACCTGGGTGTGTCTAAGGTGTTTTTTTTCCCTTTTTCTAAACACCTTAGACACACCCAGGTAATATCTAAATCCTGGACTGGTAGGGGGTCCTTGAGGACTGGGTTGAGAACCCCTGAAATGAAAGTTAAGTGTTACTTCTACAACATAGAAGTCCTTGGAGTGCTATCGTTTGAACTGTACTAAATCCTTTGCCGGGCAGCAGCAGGCATAGGATATTCTACTACCCTGGAGTGCAGGTGAACGTGGAATTATATATATACACACAAACACACGTACAATAGATCAGATATTTAAAAACCAGGGCATTGAATAAAAACAAAGAAGTCCTCTTTTGGGCAGAAGAAACTATTTTCATCAACTTTCTTAAATGACAAATTGGAAAACCAAAACCAATTCCAATGTGTTCTCTTTCGCAAATTGTATTTGAATCATATCCCCTATTTATTAACGTTTCTTTTAATCCTCACAATGTATTATTGTTGTAAAGAAATGTGTATTCTGCTATATAAATGTCCTTTATGTGTTGTATCTAGAGCTTGTCCATGGCTCTCTTATATGTGAGTTTAGCCAATAAGTATATTGTTTTTATTATTATTCAGTTTGCATTATGACTGTTTTCTCTCATTTTTTGTTAAAGATAAAGTTAAGGTTAATTGACATTGGTTCTTCGAGCATTGAATATAATTATAAGAAGGTAGAATTTATTCTCTCATGTTATATTTGCTGTTTTTGATCACAGAACCTTTACCTTTATCAATAGGTCCCTCCCTCAGAATTAGCTTGTGTAAATATTTGATCTTTTGCTCACTTTCTTGAAGCCGTGTCTTTGCAGCGGCAAGATGTTTCCGGTTCTGTAAAAGTAATTAGATACAGGCGGATAAATAGGTAATAATTGCCGTGAAGTTAATTATAAAATTATATTTTTTATTTTAAATTTCAATTTAAAGTATTTAACCAAGCATACAACCGTGCTAGGGTTTGTGTGCTTGGTTTTGCCCCATAATTATAGATTTTTGCCCAAAGTACTATTTTTTACTGTAAGTAAAATAGGATGTAAGTAAATAGGATGCAGTATATCTGCATAACATGCAGGAACTACGGTATGAATTCTGTTCCCTTCATTCCACGTTCCCTGTACGAGAGCCTTTATGGCTCAATCTATATTAACTGCTTTAAGAAGAATGACTCTAGACACAACAAACTACTTCTTTGCAGACCAACTAAGTTATAGAATAATGAATTTTGGATGAAGATGAGCATCAGAATCTTAAAATAAATCAATCAGGAGAGCAGTTGCTTCTTTTTCTCATAGAATTTTAAAAAGTGTTTCATGGCTGATCAAGTAAAAGTTATCGCTTTCAACTATTCTGCAACCATAAGCGAACTCTTGAAAATCTAGTTTTCATTATCTATCTTGATTTAAAGAACAAATATGCTCCTTCATTGCTGAATCAGAGAGCGGACAGCCGCACACGGTTCCCCAGCTTACTATCAGCTTTAAACAGAGGTGAAAAATGTCCCGAACTGTAAAAAGTAGGCAACAATCTGTCCAAATCCCCTCCCCACCTCCAAACCCAGCCCCCTCCCCCCCTACGCCCCAACTATTTTAAATGTGATCCACTTACTTTGTTGGGTCCATGAGAATACAGCTGAATTAGTTTCTCTGCCCCGCATTTCACTTGCAGCTCGATTTCCAGCTGCTTCTGCAATGCAGGTAACTTCCCGTTGCCTGGTTGGTAGCCAGTCTCGGGACATTCTGGCAATTTGTAGTAAAACAAAACCCATATCAGAAATGTCATCAGCTAATATCACTCAAGGTTAAATAAGGAATAGACAAGATTATTAAAAAGTAGTTGTAAAATCATTACACTTGCAATAAACCCTGTACCTGCACCTGGTCTACATTAAATCAAGAAGCAAGTATAAGAAATGTTAAATAAATGACAAACACTGAGTAAACAACTTGCAAAAAATACAGCAGCCAAAAGTCCTCCTCATGTTTGATTACATCACAGGTGGAGGCAATGTTCCCTGTTACAAGATCTTGTTTGGGGTTCACACAAGCATTCACTCTAGATGCCAATGAGCTCGTCTAGATGTCAATGAGACTTGCTCAAGATCAATAAAAACTAAAAACATAAACTCTTATTTTAAAAAATAAAAAACAAACATAAAGTTGTATTTTCTATAAGCCACTTAACAGTTGTATGTGTTTTTACAGAGTCCTGATGAACATTATTTTGGAAATTCCAACAGAAACTATTGGAATCACCAGGATGAATTGAGAGATATCAGATGTCTCTGGTCTGGGCATAGATCACGGAAGAAGCTGCAGATCCTGATGATTTGCAGGAAATATGAAAAATTAAAAGTCAGGATCTTTTTATTTACAATTTATTATATATTTATATTGTTCTGTTTTTATATTATTCATTTTGAATACTGCATTAATAATGGTGTCAACTCCAATCTCGAGTGTCTATGTAACGCAACCTATTTATGCTGACTGTAATGTACGCACTATGCACTGTGCCCATTTCAGTTTTTGGAAGAACTAACTAAGTAGAGCTTTGCGCAGGCACACTGTCACTGGGAGATTGGTTTGTTTGCTGTGTTTTACTACGTATGTGGTTTGATCTGATCATGGCAAGTGATCTGTATGTATTGGGCCTTTATGTTTCTCATTAAGCGCTTTACATATGTAACTGGGCAGCAAGTAAAGGTCTGCCATTCTAAATAAATATATACCTGGATTAGTATTTATTATAATTTAAAGCTATTTATATTTAAAATACAAAGCACTAAAAGTAGTCGGGTTCATCAATATGGGATTCTTTTGTCACTCTCTCTCTCCCTCTCAATATATATACAGTGAGGGAGAACAGTATTTGATTCCCTGCTGATTTTGAATGTTTGTCCAGAGAAATTATCTGTCTATAATTTTAATGGTAGGTGTATTTTAACAGCGAGAGACAGAATAGCGTGTGTCAAAAAAGGTTTATATTGATTTGCATGTTAATGAGTGAAATAAGTATTTGACCCCTTCGACTTAGTACTTGGTGGCAAAACTCTTGTTGGCAATCACAGAGGTCAGATGTTGGCCATCACGTTTGCACACATCTCAGGAGGGATTTTGTTCCACTCCTCTTTGCAGATCCTCTCTAAGTCATTAAGGGGCTGACATTTGGCAACTCGAACCTTCATCTCCCTCCACAGATTTTCTATGGGATTAAGGTCTGGAGACTGGCTAGGCCACTCAAAGACCTTAATGTGCTTCTTCTTGAGCCACTCCTTTGTTGCCTTGGCTGTGTGTTTTGTGTCATTCTCATGCTGGAATACCCATCCATGACACATTTTCAATGCCCTGGCTGAGGGAATGAGGTTCTCACCCAAGATTTGACGGAACATGGCCCCATCCATCGACCCTTTGATGTGGTGCAGTTGTCCTGTCCCCTTAGCAGAAAAACATCCCCAAAGCATAATGTTTCCACCTCCATGTTTGACAATGGGGATGCTGTTCTTGGGGTCATAGGCAGCATTCTTCCTCCTCCAAACAAAGCAAGTTAAGTTGATGCCAAAGAGCTTAATTTTGGTCTCATCTGACCATAAACACTTTCACCCAGTTCTCCTCTGAAACATTCTTCTGTTCATTTCCAAACTTCAGACGGGCCACATGTGCTTTCTTGAGCAGGGGGACCTTGCAGGCACTGCAGGATTTCAGTCCTTCACGACGTAGTGTGCTACCAATTGTTTTGTGGTGACTATGGTCCCTGCTGCCTTGAGATCATTAACAAGATACTCCCGTGTAGTTCTGGGCTGATTCCTCACCCTTCTCATGATCATTGCAACTCCACAAGGTGAGGTCTTGACTGGAGCACCAGACCGAGGGAGGCTGACAGCTTTTTTTGTGTTTCTTCCATTTGTGAATAATCGCACCAACTGTTCTTACCTTCTCACCAAGCTGCTTGCTGATGGTCTTGTAGCCCATTCCAGTCTTGTGTAGGTCTACAATCTTGTCCCTGACATCCTATGACAGCTCTTTGGTCTTGGCCATGGTGGAAAGTTTGGAATCTGATTGATTGCTTCTGTAGACAGGTGTCTTTTATACAGGTAAGGAGCTGAGATTATGAGCACTCCCTTTAAGAGAGTGCTTCTAATCTCAGCTCATTACCTGTATAAAAGACACATGGGAGTCAGAAACCTTGCTAATTGATAGGGGATCAAATACTTATTTCACTAATTGACATGCAAATCAATGTATATATTTTTTTAGATGCATTTTTCTGGATGTTCTTTTTTGTTATTCTGTCTCACTGTTAAAATACACCTACCATTAAAATTATAGACTGATCATTTCTTTGTCAGTGGTCAAACGTTCCAAATCAGCAGGGGATCAAATACTTTTTCCCTTCACTGTAACAATAAACACGCACATACGTACACTCATGCTATGAAATGCAATACAAACACAAGGTCTGCTAACGTACCTGTTTCTTGCAGAATGATTTTAGCATTTTGCTCATGGAGCTTGTCGTATAGCTCATCCAGGTTCTTTTGTGACTTTTTAAGAAACTTGTCCACACGTGCCAGATGTTTTTTCTTTGTGACAACATTGCGAAGGTTTCTAGCTCCTTCTTTAATTTTAAGTTCCTTTTTTATGTCGTTTTTTATCTGATTTTTTATGCTCAGCTTAGTCAGATGGTTAGGAATGTCTAATGATGACCTTTCATTGCTTGCCGAGGTATTACCATTTGTAGTAGAGTCTGGTGTCTTTGGGGACTCTGTAAATATGCAAATAAGACAGAAATCAAATCACCAATGTTGACAGACAATACCATAATAACAATGTTACTAATACTTACAATACAGGCAAGGCAAAGTGACAAACGCATGTTATAGATCAACTTTGATTTAAACAGGCACTTCATGCACCTTAATAACCTTAACCTTTTCATATGTTATGGTGTAAGAAGCCAGTAACTCCACAGTTTGTCTGGTAGTCTATCCAGCCGGACCAACAGATGAAACACATGGGGAACAGTACAACAAACAAAGGGAATCATAAAAAATATGGACAATAGTCATATTTGTGCACAATCTCCAGTTTTGTCACAGGGCACAAATAGTGTTTTCAAATGCCATATATCCCAGGGCCATAGTCAGAAGGTAGGAGGCGGGCAACCAGCCCACTCCAAGAACACGTGGCGAGGCTTGTTCCGCAACAACGGCATGTACAGTATATTTACGCCAACTACTAGTGTAATTCACAAAAACACTACTGGGGCTCTTACCACGTGCAACAGTTGTATTTGTGTCTTTTAGTGACCTGTCAAGTGCTGAACTTCACATCACTCAAACCCCTTCTGAGTTCATGGGGTATACTTAGTATTGTCATTGAAATGAATGGGAACACTACAATTGGCTGCATATACTTAGTATGATCATTGAAAATAATGGGAACACTACGATTGGCTGAATATACTTAGTATGATCATTGAAAATAATGGGAACACTAGGATTGTCTGAAAATACTTAGTATTGTCATTGAAATTAATTGGAACACTAGGATTGGCTGAAGATACTTAATATTGTCAATGAAATTAATGTAAACACTAAGATTAGCTGAATATCAATATACTTAGTACTGTGATTGAAATTAATGTGAACACTAGGATTGGCTGAATATACTGAGTATTCATTGAAATTAATGTGAACACTAGGATTGGCTGAATATACTGAGTATTCATTGAAAGTAATGGGAACACTAGGATTGGCTGAATATACTGAGTATTCATTGAAAGTAATGGGAACACTAGGATTGGCTGAATATACTGAGTATTCATTGAAAGTAATGGGAACACTAGGATTGATTTAAAATTTATTTTCTAGTCTGAAGCAGTATGTTTTATATAGAATACTTTGCTGTTTTTGTTTAACATGAAACAAGTTCACGAGGAAAACAAGTTTGTTCAAATAAAGAAAAAGTTAAATTTCTACCAAATCTATGAATATCATGCTTTAAATTAATTATACAGCTGTAGAAGTGTATATTATTTTGTTTGCTGTCAATGTTACCATAGTCACAGTGGCAGAAATGCACTTTTTCTCCTCTACGCTCCCTCCCAGAATCCCTCCTTATTACGGACAAACTGTGTCTGCCACATACAGTTTGGCGCATGGGCGCTGTAAGCTATAACTCTGACAGGAGTGACTGCTATAGCAGCAGAATAAAGCTCAGATTGCTGTGTTACAGAGTATCAGAGTTATATGACAAGCAGGGCTGCCTTCAGGTTATTAATGCCCATTCTCTAGTCATGGGCTCGGTCGAGCACTGGGGTCCACATAGGGCATGAGGCACTTTAACGTCATGCGATCTAGGCGGGGAGACTGAAACATTTCTCTAAAAAGGGCTGCATTAAGCAAATACATCCAGTAAGGGGTTAAAATCCCACGGGGCCCGAGGCAAGTTACCAGTTTGAGGCTCTCACTTCCTTCTTCACATAGGAATGGGTTAATAGGGCCAAGCAAATATATAGTTTGGAGACCATAGGCTACTGCCTAGGTTTGCCTTATGGTTAATCCTGCTCTGGCAACATCTGCCGGGACCCCTGACCAGACCAGAATTTAATATCACTACCTCGGAGAAAACACAGGATTACTATTAGCATGACAATATAATATTGACAGAGATTGGGTGAGTAAGCTTTGAATGTGTATGTGTGTGTGTGGGAGAGTGAATGTGCCTTGAAACAAGTACAGCTCTGTAAGTATCTGTGTGCATGTCAGTAAGTTTGTATCTGTGCAGTGACGTACTAAGGGGGGCCGGGGGTGGGCGGTCCGCCCCAGGTGCCACCAAGCTCTGTACCTCCTGCTCTCCCGCAGCTCTGGCAGACCGGTGCTCAGTTTGTGAGTCAGAGCACTAGGAGGGGATTCCCAGCCTGTGTTCTGACTCACACACTGAGCTGCAGGGAGGCTATTTCAGAGTGTCCCAGCAGGGGGCACAGAGCCAGGTTGCTCCCCCGCGGTCACTCTGTAGATGCAGGGGATCAGCTCTCTATATCCCCTGCACCTGCTGCCTGCCTGGGAAGGAGCTGCTGCCCCTGCACCCTCCTAAATGGTAACTATTATACCCCCACTGCCCTATACCCCACCCACCACTGCCATTATAACCCCCCCTGCCATTATACCCAGGGGATCAGCTCTCTATATCCCCTGCACCTGCTGCCTGCCTGGGAAGGAGCTGCTGCCCCTGCAACCTTCTAAATGGTAAGTAACTATTATACCCCTCCTGCCATTATGCCACCACCCTCCCTGCCCTATACACCCCTTCCATTATACCACCACCCTCCCTGCCCTATACCCCCCTGCCCTATACACCCCTTCCATTATACCACCACCCTCCCTGCCATTATAAACCCCTGCCCTATAACCCCTGCCATTATACCACCACCCTCCCTGCCCTATACCCCCCTGCCCTCATACACCCCCTTCCATTATACCACCACCTCCCCTGCCATTATAAACCCCTGCCCTATACCGGGCCAAGTTATTATACCTCACCACCTCCCTGCCCTATACCCTCAAGCATTATACTCACCACCCTCCCCTGCTCCCTATACCCTCCATTATACCACCACTCCTCCCCAAGCATATAAACCCCTGCCATTATGTACTCACCACTCTCCCCTTGCCCCCTATACCCCTGCCATTATACCACCACCCTCCCTCGGCCTCTTTTACTCCCTCGGCCATTAAAACCACCACCCTCCCTTTTCCTGCCCTATACTCCCACTCCCCTGCCATTATACCCCTACCCTCCCTGCCATTATAACCCCTGCCCTATGCTCCTTCTGCTATTATACCACTCACCTCCTGCTCCTATACCCTGCTATTATGTACTACCACTCCTCCCTGCCCTATACCCCACCCCCACTGTCATTATACCCCCACCCTCCCTGCCCTATTCCCCCATGCAATATCACTCACTAAGTCCCATACCCCAATATACTCCGACCCACCCAGGCACATACAACTGTTCCCCTACTGTCACATAGACACATTACACACAGGCTCACATTCACAAATTACATATGCAGACACACACAATGCACATACATACGCTGTCACAAACACATTTTTTTACACAAGGGACAAGGACAGATATATTCTGGGAGGCAGTGAGGTTAGTGCACGCCCTGCAGTGAACCGGCAGCTGGGATAAGATGGCATCGGCATCACTACTGGGAGCACAAGTGAGCTGTGCAGGAAGAGCACCCAGCAGCAATCACCATGGGGAAGATCCAAGAGCAAGGTAGGGAAGCTGGTTGGACCTCTTAATTACTAAATGTGTGTAAGAATGTGATTTTTGTGTGTGTCTGTGATTGTGTGTATCTCTGTCGTTAAGTGTGTATTTATTGTGATTGTGTGTGTGTATGTATATACACACACAACCACAGATGTACAAGTCTGTGTGTATATAAATGTATATGTGTTTAGTAGATAGCTCCCTTATTTGGTGTACTTAAATATGTCAATCCCACATAAGGATAACAAATGAGGGAGTTATCTACTAAACAACTGAAAGATTAAAATTAAGTAAAAGGCTTTTACATTTTGATCTTTTAGCAGTCTAGTAGATAATTCCCTAAATTAATGCTCTTATGTGAGATTTCCATATTTAAATATGCCAAATTAGGGTGCTCTTTAGATCTAAATATGGCAATCTCACATTGGGATATCAAATAGAGGAGTTATCTGCTAAACAAAGATCGAAGTTTAGAGGTGTCAGCCAGCGCAGAACAGGAAATCTGGGTGGCTAGTATGAATTCTATGCAAATGTGTTGTCTGATTGTGTGTATATATTTGTGTATGTGTATATGTGCATACCTCCTAGCATTTTGCCAACACTACACACAAGCACAACACTGTATTCAAACAACACTACAAACAAACACATCTTTGTATTAAAACATCACCATTAGATATAACCACACCACTGCATCTCGCCAACACTACACACAAATGCATGTCTGCATTCAAACGCCAACACTACACCTCCCTTCATTCACTCACACATTTTCCATACAAAAACACATGCTTACATTTAGATGCACAAACACTGCTCAGTGCTACATTCATTTTAAAAAAACTTGGGTGTTTTTTTGACATTTTAAGGTGGTGGGGGGTGCCATAAGGAGGATTTGCCCCGTGTGCCAAATGCTCTAGGTATGCCCCTGCATCTGTGTACATGTCAGTCAGTTTGTGTCTGTGTGCATGTAAGTAAGTTTGTGTCTGTGTGCATGTAAGTAAGTTTGTGTCTGTGTGCATGTAAGTAAGTTTGTGTCTATGTGCATGTCAGTAAGCTTGTGTCTGTGTGCATGTCTGGGAGCTTGTGTCTTTGTGCATGTCTAGGAGTTTGTATCTATGTGCATGTCTGAGAGTTTTTACATGTCTGGGAGTTTGTGCACGGACGGTCATGCAAAATGCATTTGTAAGGAGTCCCGCAATTTCTGATGGCACTGAGAAGTCCCCGCAACAAAGCCACTGGAATGGTGTAAGAGGAGGAGGAATGTCCTGCAAAGGAAACTGTTACAGAGAGCAGAAAGTGAACATGAGAATGTGATATAAACTCAATCAGAACATGTCGGCTCTTACTAGACTGCAGGAGGGTAATACACCAATCAGAAATAACTAATGTGAGCTTATAGAAATAACTAAAACTGGTCCAGTCACCATGGCGATATACAGGGAGTGCAGAATTATTAGGCAAGTTGTATTTTTGAGGATTAATTTTATTATTGAACAACAACCATGTTCTCAATGAACCCAAAAAACTCATTAATATCAAAGCTGAATATTTTTGGAAGTAGTTTTTAGTTTGTTTTTAGTTATAGCTATGTTAGGGGGATATCTGTGTGTGCAGGTGACTATTACTGTGCATAATTATTAGGCAACTTAACAAAAAACAAATATATACCCATTTCAATTATTTATTATTACCAGTGAAACCAATATAACATCTCAACATTCACAAATATACATTTCTGACATTCAAAAACAAAACAAAAACAAATCAGTGACCAATATAGCCACCTTTCTTTGCAAGGACACTCAAAAGCCTGCCATCCATGGATTCTGTCAGTGTTTTGATCTGTTCACCATCAACATTGCGTGCAGCAGCAACCACAGCCTCCCAGACACTGTTCAGAGAGGTGTACTGTTTTCCCTCCTTGTAAATCTCACATTTGATGATGGACCACAGGTTCTCAATGGGGTTCAGATCAGGTGAACAAGGAGGCCATGTCATTAGATTTTCTTCTTTTATACCCTTTCTTGCCAGCCACGCTGTGGAGTACTTGGACGCGTGTGATGGAGCATTGTCCTGCATGAAAATCATGTTTTTCTTGAAGGATGCAGACTTCTTCCTGTACCACTGCTTGAAGAAGGTGTCTTCCAGGAACTGGCAGTAGGACTGGGAGTTGAGCTTGACTCCATCCTCAACCCGAAAAGGCCCCACAAGCTCATCTTTGATGATACCAGCCCAAACCAGTACTCCACCTCCACCTTGCTGGCGTCTGAGTCGGACTGGAGCTCTCTGCCCTTTACCAATCCAGCCACGGGCCCATCCATCTGGCCCATCAAGACTCACTCTCATTTCATCAGTCCATAAAACCTTAGAAAAATCAGTCTTGAGATATTTCTTGGCCCAGTCTTGACGTTTCAGCTTGTGTGTCTTGTTCAGTGGTGGTCGTCTTTCAGCCTTTCTTACCTTGGCCATGTCTCTGAGTATTGCACACCTTGTGCTTTTGGGCACTCCAGTGATGTTGCAGCTCTGAAATATGGACAAACTGGTGGCAAGTGGCATCGCGGCAGCTGCACGCTTGACTTTTCTCAGTTCATGGGCAGTTATTTTGCGCCTTGGTTTTTCCACACGCTTCTTGCGACCCTGTTGACTATTTTGAATGAAACGCTTGATTGTTCGATGATCACGCTTCAGAAGCTTTGCAATTTTAAGAGTGCTGCATCCCTCTGCAAGATATCTCACTATTTTTGACTTTTCTGAGCCTGTCAGGTCCTTCTTTTGACCCATTTTGCCAAAGGAAAGGAAGTTGCCTAATAATTATGCACACCTGATATAAGGTGTTGATGTCATTAGACCACACCCCTTCTCATTACAGAGATGCACATCACCTAATATGCTTAATTGGTAGTAGGCTTTCGAGCCTATACAGCTTGGAGTAAGACAACATGCATAAAGAGGATGATGTGGTCAAAATATTCATTTGCCTAATAATTCTGCACTCCCTGTATATACAGTTATCAACTACACACACATAGTTTTTAGTGTACCTGGAAGTATCTCTCCTCTTTGCTCAGCTTCACCAGATATTCGGCGTCTGGTGCCCTGAAAAGGCAGAAACAAAAAGTATTAGAAATCCAAAGGAACTTTGCAAGAAACATACTCTCACAAACTAAACGTTTTTTTAAAATCCATCCCCTTTCTGCCACAGAGTCCAGCAAAATTGTTAAACTATTTCAAGGGACCTAAAATACAGGAAGATAGTCTACTTAAAATAACTGCCAAAATACGAGAATAATTTCTCATTGCAGCAACTGAAAAATGTTAAATATTGATTATATCTACAGTATCCGGTCTAAACTACTGCTATTGGTTGTTTAAATGTTATTTTAACTGGGGAGACTTAATATAAGTTGTATTCTGTATAGTGTTACTGTATATTAACACAGACTCGGCAGACCCTGAGTGCTGGCTCATTGTGGCAATTTCTTATTACATGCCTAAGAACTGCTGTGATTAATGCACTACAGTATTCAATTACTATTAGTATAGTGTGGGAGTCCCATAGCAGATGCAGAAGACCGGCTGTACAAATGGTAATAAATTAGTGCACTTGAAAATGCATCCAATCCCCTCTGTCCTGGCTCTGGGTCTGGGCAGGTAGCACAATGTCAGAAAAAAACATTATAATAAACACAATGGAGGTTATTCAATAAATGGGGCATTGCACAGAAGTAATGGGAATTTAACCAAAATCGGAAGAATTTGTCCTCTCTTTTCCAGGATTTTTATTTTTGCTGTTTAGTGGTTAATTTCCTTAGAGCTCTAGGCTATCATTTTTAATTCATGGAATTTCCTTTATAATATGTATGTCCCAACCTTGGATGATGTAAACCATATATACTATAATTATTGAATTATAATGCCAATGACATTTACAACTATCTGTACAGAGCGAGGAAGAATCATTCTCCCAAAATATATATGAGTGGAATTATGAACTTATAGCTTTAACAAGTATTGCAAATTGCTGTAACTTTAAAGAGCTGATACAGAAATGGGGAGACCATTGGCTGTCATGGGGATTGGAACATAATGGATAGTTATGGATTTCATCCAATGAATAGATCTGCTTCTACTCTTCCAGCGATACATATTAATAATTATAAATGGGTCAGACCTGTATTCCCCATTTGGACCCAATAATGCATTATATTGGAGTTTGGGTTAACATGTTAGAGCTCTCAGTTAATGATAAATATAATTGGAACCGTAAAGAAACTAAGTAATTTACTTACCTTGCAAAAGCGCAGGGACCGAAAACACGAGAAAATATTTCTATTTGACATTTTTAGCTACACGTCACCACGACTGTTAAGCAGTGTCAACTGTCTCAGTAGTGTGCAGTGTCAACTGTCTCAGTAGTGTGCAGTGTCAACTCAAAGCTGTGATTATCAGAGATGATGTCACATGATGTCACAGCCATCAGTCACAGACACACATGATACATTGCAATGTACAATCTGTCTGTGTTTGAATTCGGATATACTATAATATTAAATAATATAACATTCAGGGGTTCATTTACTAAACCGTGAATTGTAATGATCTGAAATGTTAAATCTGTAATTTTAACCTGTATTTGTATAATGTATTACTTATTTAAATCTCTTTTTTTAATATACATGTTATAATACACCAGAGATATAAAAAAAAAAAAAAAAAGATTATTATTTAAAGTTTTATTATGGGAGGAATATGGTAAACGTTAGCCCGGTTCTAAAGGCACACTAATAAATACAAAATATTTGTAAGCTCTCAAATAGAATTGAGAAATCTAATAAGAAGTTTAAGTGCTTAGTGACAGACAATGTACCGCATATGTACAGCATATGTATTTGCCGTCTAGGTTATCCCCTATTTTAGGTGTGGGCATGCTTGATTTCTAACCCACATGCCTTTTTGAAGGCCGAACATATAACCGTAACAATTCCAATGCTTATGTGTACTAATGGTAATCTAGAATATACTCATAATTTATTCTTTCAAATTTCTACGCAATATAGGAAAGAATATATAATGCTTATGAAAGATGCAACAAGCATTATAAAAATATTATAATGGCCCAATTAAAAAGTGTAAATGAGAATTAGGTTGTCAAAACTGCTTACCAGAAACAAGGGATTTCTTGGTGGCAGCATTGGTTTGGTTTAAGATAAGATTTGGCATGGGATATTTCATCCACTCATAATCATGGTAACAACACACCAAACCTAGCTGGTTTTTAAATTTAAAATTTGTAACTTTCTAAAACTCAAAGAAACCTGTACATGGGCACCGTTGTACTCGTGGGACATCACTGAACACATAAATGTGTATATATATTTTATTTTTTATTATGATATTCACAGTTAAAAGGACATGTATAACTTGGAATATAACAAAATTACAAGGCCCTCGGATGGCAAAAGTGGACATAATAATGACCAAAGAAGGTCAAAAATTGCCTCTACAGGTGCGAGGCCTTGTGGTTAGGCCAAGCAGATGTGTCTGACTTGGGCTCCTCACCAAAACCCGAATAAATGGCTTAAATTGTGAAACATAGCCCAGATTTTGCACTTCAGCTACTATTTACCTGACCATGCCGGATGCGAGGACACCTCGCAATGTTATAGAGCTTTCCCCTAATCTCTACATTCTGGAACTCAAGATGCGGCCTGTGAAGCCTGGCAGGCCCTGCAAGAGAGAGATGCAGTCGAACTCCCGGTTTAGAGCTGCTGATTCTGTTGCGGAGCACTGCTTGAGCCCCCCCTCTCCTCTCTGGACTGGTGGGAGGTTTTTCCAGTCCACACTGGAGCGGCGGGCAGTACCTGGAAGCTGGGGTCTACACAAGCAATAAGTGAGCAAAGCACTTACCGACCTAAGATGGCTTCTGACATCCCGGTAGCTGAGCCCGTGATGAAGGTCAAGCAGCAGCAGTAATGGGAAGCAGCTTTTGCATTTGGTACACCCTGGAGGTTAAGATACATGACCCCCCCCCCCCCTTACCTACAGGGCAGCTTGTGTGTCTTTTAAGGTGTGTGTGTGTGTCTGTCAAGGTGTGTGTGTGTGTATGTCAAGGGGTGTGTGTTTGTCTGCCATGGTATGTATGTGTGTCATGGTGTGTGTCTGTCATGTATATGTGCATGTCATGGGGGTGTGTGTCTGTCATGATATATGTGTGTGTCTGTGTCTGTCATGGTATATATTTGTGTCTGTGTCTGTCATGGTATATATTTGTGTCTGTGTCTGTCATGGTGTATGTGTGTGTCTGTGTTTTAAAAATAGTGTTTTACTCACCTTTTTTTTTTTCCCCCACGCCATGCTGGTCTCCCCTCGACTGGCCATGCCTCTATGGCTGAGATCATCAAGCTTGATGATCTCAGCCAATCCCATGCTTTGCCATATAATTGGTTGCAAAACCTTACACAAATCAGTGTGTCTGCCACTAAAGGTGTCACTAGGAATCAATATAAACACTGCCTTTTCTCTGAAAAGTCAGTGTTTACATTGAAAAGCCTGCAGGGACAGACTATATACACCAGAACCACTACGTTAAGCTGTGTGTGTGTGTGTGTGTGCGCGCCTGCTAGTGAGTGAGCTTGCTTGCATGTGTGTGTGTGTGTGTGCCTGCTAGTGAGTGAGCTTGTGTTTTTTTTTTTTATGTCAATGAGTTTATGTATATCAGTGAGATTGTTTGTTTGTCTATGAGGCTGTGTGTCAGTGAGATTGTCTGTGTCTGCATGTGAATATGCTTACTGTATAATTAAACATTTTACTGTGAAAGAACCAATATTTTATATTAGAAAAAGATATATATATATATATATATATATATATATATATATATATTAGATTTTTTTTTATATATATATATATATATAATATCAATCATCTGGGGTGGCACGACATAGCCTTACATATTACATGCTACAATATATGGCACAATGTCTCATGGGGCTGGCATAGATTTTTAATCCAGGGCTGCTTTGTATCCCCAGTCCGGCCCAGTTGGCGACATACAGGGTATGTCAAGCAATGAGATCATAGTGATCGCTGAGTGATGTTTTCTTTCTTTTTTCTTTTTCTATCTATAATTTCCCTGCATAGACAGCAATGTTCATTAAACTTGATTTGTTTTTTAAGTGTATTGCCCCAACCCATTTACACAAGTCGGTTACCGATCACTATTTTCAGTCTATATTTATGCATTAAGGGGTGTGCTCGCCCCCAGTGGTTATTTTCTCTTGTTTCAGTTCTTTATTATTTTACAAAATGTGCAGTTCTTACACATGCCACAGTGCTATGTCTCTTGTAATTATTGTATTTGCTGTTGTGGCATAGCAAGCTTTTCTGTCAATTTTATGCACAATAAAAATATATAATAATAATTAAAAAAAATTAAAAATACCTTTACCTGTTGGGTGCATGAAGAATAAATATTGTTGGTGACTTAACATGTCCCCCATATTAATTTATATGGAAAATAAACTGCAGGTAAGGAAGACGCCCTTTTTAAAAACAGTGACAGTTGAACTGTAATCCAAAATGGCGGCTGCAAACTCTGTGAAGCCAAAGGCCGTAAAGTGCTTAGAAAATCGGAAGTAACTACTTCCAACATTTAAAAAAAATGCATAATTCACTTGCTAAATACCTGCTCTAGTATGATTAAGCAAAAGAAAATTGAAAAACTGGGTATTAACTCAAAAACGTGTGAAAAAACGGCATCCCCCGTGGGGCCTAAAATGGCAGATCGGGTATCGCCCAGAGATCAAATGTCACAACTTGATGCTGCCCCTGTAGCATCCCCTGACTGCCCAGTGTCCTATACACAGATGGAAACTCTTTTAACTAAGCTAAGAGTAGGAACTGAGCAAAGATTTGAACACCCAAATGGCGTCACTATAAAAAATGATGTGACAAAGATCGATATTCGCCTAAATCAGGTGGAAACAATATTTGACGAGCAAACAAATGCACATTCAGACCTCGAATCATGGGTACATTCACGTGAATCCCAGGCCTCATTTGTGAATTGTAAAATTGCCGACCTCGAAAATCGGAGATGGTGCAATAACATTTTGCATCCGAAATGTGCTAGAAACTATTATAGCGAATTAGCTCACTGATTATGTCAAAGCTGCAATTGCTCAATATTACTGAATTTGAGCGATTCGGAGACTACAATTGATCGCTGCCACAGGCTCACCAATAGGCTCAACATTGGTCAAGCCTAATTCGGCACCAAACGATTCACCTAGGGATGTAACAACCAGGCTACATTTTTATCATTTAAATGATGACTTTATGAGAACTATGAGACACGACAAAGAGTTCCCTAGTGGATTTAGACATCTCTGTATATATTCAAGATTTTTCTGCAGCTGCACGCCTAAGAGGAGATATTTTCAAGGCATCACAGGACAATTGCATTCTAAAGGAATTAAATATCATTGGGGGTTTCCATTGAAGATTTGACTTTGCCATAAAGGCCAGAATGTGGTTCTTTCTACACCAGAGGAAGGAGATGATTTTTTGACTAACTTGGATATGGATGACCATCAAAGTCCTCAAACTCCAAAGCCCACCAGGAAATTGAGAAGCGATGTGCTAGTTTAATAAAATTATTTCCTGTAGATTGGATGCATAATTCTCTATTCCTGCAGAGTGATGCTGTTCTAGTGGCATTAGTTGGAACTTTACTTATTGTGACCTACAGCTCTCAATATTAAGTTGTTTTGGCTTATTATAAACAGGACTACTACACACTGTTTTGTTTTTTTGTTTTGTTTACTAAGTCCTCTTTTTCGCCTTCAGTTTCTCATTTCTTTGGATTTTATTGTATGTATTGGGGCATGTATAATATGGGAGTGGGAGTTTGAGCGCAGAAATTTTTTCTTTATTTACAGACAGAAAGAGCTAAAGCCCCTCTAAAGGTACTTAAAGATGGGAGAATCCATAGTCTAATTATAAGCCATGTCAAAATAGTGAATAATGCATCTGTGCTAAAATAATCAATCTAAGTAAGAATACATTTAAAAAAGCCCTACATAAAAATACTTTCTATATATACTCTGTTTTGGACCAGATCAAGTGTCTGCCTGAATATCTGCCCCTGTCCAGATTTTTAAAGTGAGATGCGTGCACGCTGAAGAAATCACACTGACAACAAGTTCAGATAAATGAAAACTTTGAAGTGTTTATTGGGGGGGACAGCCCCTTAAAAAGGCAAAATAATGCATTGTGTGCAAATATTAAGCATTAACTTTTAATTGGCTAAGTGTAAGTGTTTTATTTTGATGTACTTCTTCCAAAGTGTCATGTCATCATCATCTTAGGTGTAGCTCCGGATGGAGACACCATCATGTTACATGAGGCTTTTGGTCGATGGGAGGGGGTGCTCTAGCGGCCATTTTAAGTAATGAATGAGCACAGGTACACATAGTAAATAGACATTTTACATACGTTAATTTCTATCTATCACAACTCTACTTAGTGGTAAGGGAAAGTATCAAAAAGAAGTGCCACCTTAACTCAACCAATGCTATTATAATTGGGAAAAATTCCTTTATTAGATGCTTGGACACGTACAAAGTGGCTTAACCCCTAAATGTCTACCATAATTCAGGGAAGCCCCAGATGAAGGCGCATTACTCTAGTGCGTAATAGGAATTTGTGGGAATAGGAATTTATTTTTTAATGTAGTCTACCATTTAGGGTTTAGCTAGTGGATACTTACCTTTATCAGGGACAGTCTATTTGAGAGATTTACATGGAGCTTAAACTTGGAGCTTTAGTTTGGTTGTTGGGACTTCTGCCCCGAGGTATTAGAGGAGGGGATCTTTGGACATTTAGTATTGTCTACGTAGGGGTATTTACTATCAGGCTATTATGGTTATCGTCAGTTATCTAGTGTTTTTAACATCAATTTCTCTGAGGTTCCCCCATCCTATTCCCCCCACATCCCCCCCCCCCCTTTTTTTTATTTTTTTTTTATTTTTTTTAGGAAGTTTAGGAGTTCCTCTAGTACATATTTTTGTACTCATATAGTATTATTTTGATCAGGACAGATAATCTCTCTTATGACTTTATCTCTGTTCCCCCATTTAGTTCAACTGGGGTTGTTACTTAAGGTAAGGTATGTCTTTTTGCTGATGATACTAAGATATGTAACAGGGTTGATGTTCCAGGAGGGGTAAGCTAAATGGCAAATGATTTAGGTAAACTAGAAAAATGGTCAGAGCCGTGGCAGCTGACATTTAATGTGGATAAGTACACGGTAATGCATCTTGGATGTAGAATAATTGTTAGAGTCCTAACCTCAAGGAAAGGGATTTAGGGGTGATTATTTCTGATGACTTAAAGGTAGTCAGACAATGTAATAGAGCAGCAGGAAATGCTAGCAGAATGCTTGGTTGTATAGGGAGAGGTATTAGCAGTAGAAAGAGGAAAGTGCTCATGCCATTGTATAGAACACTGGTGAGACCTCACTTGGAGTATTGTACGCAGTACTGGAAACCGTATCTTCAGAAGGATATTGATACCTTAGAGAGAGTTCAGAGAAGGGCTACTAAACTGGTTCATGGATTTCAGGATAAAACTTACCAGAAAAGGTTATAGGATCTTAACATGTATAGCTTGGAGGAAAGACGAGACAGGGGGGATATGATAGAAACATTTAAATACATAAAGGGAATCAATACAGTAGAAGGGAGAAACCATATTTAAAAGATGAAAAACTACCACAACAAGAGGACATCATCTTAAATTAGAGAGACGAAGGTTTAAAAATAATATCAGGAAATATTACTTTACTGAGAGGCTATTTTGAATAATGTTGTTTTCTATTATATTCTATAAACAATATTTGAAAGGAAGCTATAAAAAAATATATATAAAATGTGGATCCTTGGTACCTCACACACAGTAAATTAAAAACCTATACCTATATAAACACAATTTAGCACAATATCTTTGCAATTTGAAAATATTACTTAATTGCTCGCATTAGTTAATGTGATCCTTTATGTGACAAATAGTAATTAGGGACTAAATAGTCACAGTACGAAAATAGATGACAGACAAATACTTTACACCAAGCATGTGAAACATGCGGCCCACAATTAATGTTTGCGGCCCAGGGCCGGACTGGCCTACCGGCATACTGGAAAGTTTCCTCGTAGGCAGCTTGCCCTGGGGCCTCTTTGTGCTGTGGCCCTCCCACGGGCCATGGCTGAGTGCCTGTTCCTGCGACCAGCGGCTGCAAGAGCGCAAAACATTCTACCACGCCGGCTGCTGGACATGCGCATACAGCATATGAAGTCATACCCGGCAGCTGCGTGGCAGCACTACAGTGCAGAGCAGTCCAGTCACTCCCCCTTTCCTGCTGCTTCCAGTGCCAGAGTAGCATGTGGCCTGCTTGACTGCTTTGCGGTGTGTTAAATTGGGGGATGGGGGCAGTGTGTTAAATTGGGGGAAGGGAGGGGCAGGGCAGTGTAATAAATTGGTCGAGGGGGGGCAGTGCATTTAATTAGTCGAGGGGGCCAGTGTGTTAACTTGGGGGGAAGGAGGGGGCCAATATATTAAATTGGTCGAGGGGTGTTAAAATGGGGGAAGGGAAAGGGAGTACAGTGTATTACATTGAGGGAGGGTTCAAGCATTGTATTTGAGTGGTGGGAGGGAGAGGATGTAGTGTATTAAATTATAGTGGAGGGAGGGGGAGCAGTGTATAAGTTTGGGGGGCACGGGAGGCTGTGTGTTAGATTGGGGGGAGGGAGGTGGGCAGTGCATTAGAGTGATGGGAGGGGCAGTGTATTAAATTGGGGATGGAGGGGGGCAGTGTATTAAATTAGAGTGGAGGGAGGGGGCAGTGTATTAGATTGGGGGGCGGGAGGGGATGTAGTGTTTTAAATTAGAGTAGAGGGAGGGGGAGCGGTGTATTAGATTGGGGGAGGGGGCAGTGTATTAGGGTGGATGGGCACGGAAGGCTGTGTGTTAGATTGGGGGCATAATAAGTAACTTGAAGTAAAGCGTTTGAGTAAAGTATACAAAATACTTTTTATATGTAATTAGGATAAAATATTGTTTGCATGAGAATGATACAAGTAATTTTAGCTTGTGTTAGTCTAGGTCCTATTTTTCTTTTTCTTTTTTTGTGCCCCACATAAACGTAAACCTTGTTTATTTGACCCGTTTTATTCTTTGAGTTTTACAAAAATTGAATAGTCTGGTTTCCAAAAGATAGGTCATTGTCTACCTCTGTTTTGTGAATTTAGATAAGTGATAAGAGAGCCTTAATGTCTGCTGCTTTTTTATTATTATTTTTCATTGGGTGCCATATAAAAAGTGCCTTGTAAAAAGCTATTATTTTTCTGTTATTTATATGCCAAAGGGTGAGGCTGTAATGAAATAAATATATCTGAAAAGCAAGCACTATGTTACAAAAACAAATTATATTAAAGCATCAGTTATTTCGCACTCAATGTGTGCTACTTAATAAGCACAGAAAACCAGAAAGGCTGAAATACTTCAAATTCAATGCAAATAACTTTTATTAGAAATGACAAAAATCGCAGGTAACAACAGAGGTCTAAGACACTGTCAGGCTCATATTTAGTTTAAAAAGTGAACCATTTTATTACTTTATAAATCAGAATGTCTCGTAAAAACCCATAATGGGAATAAAATAGAAGTTGATATAGTGAGAGTGGTGGCGCTTGTCATAGAAACACAGAGAAGAAGTAGAGAACAATGAGATATGTGCTCAAACCCTTCAGATCTTGTCTTCAGACATGATGTACAAATAAATGTGTGGAGTCCGTTATAAATATGTTAAAGAAGAACAATACAAGCACACACATATTTTTAAAGTAAAAACCGGATATGTAGTTACACTCAGTGAATATAAAGTATACCCAGTGATAATAGCAGGACATTTTAACAATTAAAAAGAAAAAACACTTGCGTGACAAAAATGATTATGCCTATAACCGTGTATTTTGCCTATAACCGTGTATGGTCGTTTTCTAAGAGGACTTTCAAGTAATGAAATATTTAATTCTGGAAATACCCAGAGAGAAAGGAATAATAAAAATAGAAATCACACAATCTACCCCTACCTACCCACAATGATTCAGAGAAAAGAAAGCCATATATACCCTCAAACACTCCGTTTATCCCTGTTGAAAATGCTCCGGGATAGAGTAGAGTAAAGAGAGGACCTAAAAAGAGACAACAAAACAGACCACAATTGTCCCTTGCCAATATGTAAAGGACATTATCTACCAACTCTATTTGGGAATAATGAACAAAGGAAAGATCCACCCCGCTCTGTCTCTTTTTTTTTTTTTGACAAAACTATAACTTAAGCTCAAAAAGTAGAACTTGGGACCACGAAGAAGGGCTTCTTCTGCGGCTTCTGTCCTCTGCGGCATCTAGCAGTGCTGAGTGGGAGAGCTGGAGTTGCAGCACTGTTTCTTTGAGACCCTTCACTTCACGTTGTACATCTATTATGTCCTCCTTCAAGGTTTTCACTCAGTCAGTCACCGCTTGAATCTCTGTCCTCATTAGATCAATGTCAATTCTAGCAGGAGGTTATTTAAATAAAAATAAAAAGCACCTTAACCTGAATTATAAACAAAGGAAAGACTTACGGGAATTAAAAGAAGATGAAGAAATTATAATAAAACCGGCAAATAAGGGGGGAGCTGTCGTGATCCAGAATAAGAACGAATATATTAAAGACATTGATAGACAGCTAAGTGTTCTGTCCACATATAAAAAAACTTGATAGGAAATCCATCCAACCTTATCAAAAAAATAATACTACACTTTTCTGGAAAAGGGAAAGGCATTGAAGATTTTAAGTAAAGATGAATATAAATACTTTGATATTAAAGTTTGTAAGATCCCTGTTTCTATACCCTTCCTTAAGGTGCATAAGGACCTCAGGAACCTTCTGGGAAGACCCATAGTGGCTGGAGTGGAGTCTCTTCTGAGCAGGTTATCAGAATACATTGACTTAACTTAAGGATTCCACCCAACTTATAAAAGAACTACAAAATGTTTGTTGGGAAGAAAAGTATTAAGGATAATTGCCAGTATTTGTGGGAGGGGTTACGCAGCCGTCCATCACTTCAGAGCCATCTTCATTTTATTGAATTGCCTTGGAGGATCTCCCAATTCCAGTTCTGGTCAGACCTGTACTCCTACGGCCGGCGCTGCACGACCTCTCCGACCTACCAGTCCCTTCGGTCTCTCCCCGGCAAGCAGTGTAAAGGCAGCCCTAACCCCCCGACTTCATCACCACGGCTGGCGCTGCACGACTTCCCGGACCTCCCGGTCCTCCAGGGATCTCTCCGGCGGATGGTACAAAAGGTCCCCCACCTCTCCATCCTGAACGGCTCAAGGGGCTTGTTAAGCCCGTCAAAGTAACAGCCCTCACAGCCATTTAGTTACACCCTGTCTGGGCGGCTGAGCTCAGCTCAGTTCCCACATACTCTAGCTTGGCTGGGCTCACACTCCAATCAAGCTTAGCCATCCTTTATTCGGCAAACTCACGTTGGCACTATAGGCCTCTTATTGTCACACTATACTGAACTCTGAATCTTGTTGTCACTATCTTGTTATGTTGTCATGGCTCATATTCAGTCACTTTATCCATGCATAATTTGCTCTCTTCAGAAGGCTGGCTAATTCCCTTGTGTTGGTTCTCTTGTCCCCATTTCCTGTTTGGCATGATTATGCTGTGGGGTCATACCTTTTAGCCTCAATCTGGAACTTCTGAACACCTGATATGCCTGTTTGTTTCAGAGTATTGAACGCATTTCTGTCTTACAATCTACCGACCCACTAATTGTTATAAGACGCTAACCTGCTGTTTATCCCTGTTTTTATCAATTTAGTCATCATTCTGTTGTATAGTATTAGGTGGGGTCAAACTGCTTGGCCTCATTAGGGATTATATATATATATATATATATATAACCTCTGAACACGCCAAGTTTGTTGGATATGCCAGCAGTTATAGTATATTTAGATGGAATATATTTGTTTTTTTTCCAGTTGCTTTAACCCTCTTCCCCGCATAAAACAATCATTTACTGCTACTATTTGTTTCTACCAGGTATTCAGTGAAGTTTCTGGTCATTGTTATGTTCTCAAAAACAGGTTATTTCCTGGGGCTTACTTAAAAACTTACCTATCATCTTTCTATTTTCCAGTTCTTGTTGACCCGCTTCTGTTACAGTAGGCACTCTTCCCAGGCCTTACTCAGCTTCTGTGAGCACCTCAATTCATGCATATATGGCCACCTATTTGGCCTGACAGCCCGACTTTCTTGTATCCACCTAAATCATGTAACCCTGCCCTAGTCACATCTAGGATTCTTACCTTACACTATCCCCATGATGGTATATCACAGACTCAGTCACACGTTTATCTATTCTATTTTTCATCATCATACCCAACACGTCTCAATTACCTGCCTGCCATGTTGTTAAGTAGTTTTATGTACTCAAGGTACTGACACTGGTCTATTGCTTTACACTGAGATTATTCAACGGTATCCGTTAATTGACAAAGCTACAACAGGAAACTCTCTTTGTGTCTTATCCTGTTTCTTCACCCCTGCTAAGGTATACAAGGGCATTCGTGATTTTTCTATATTACTACTATAGTGCATGCTGTCAATTTCTTTCCCCTTTTGGGGATATTGGCAAGCACTTATACCTTCCATAGGTTAGGTTGCTTATTTCAACATACAAATCTAAGTGGTATTCACTAGTCCCTTGCATTTTTTCACCCCATAGGTATACTTAGCTACCCCAGAGCAGTTTATATTCCTACAGTGCTTACCTCATGAGCAGGTAAGTACAGCATATCCGCCCATTCCAAACCAAGCCATATTAATTCCCTTCCCTAGCAGGTTTAGAGGAACTGGCTTCAATTCAACAGCATTCAGTCCATCTGCGGCATCAACCCCTTTGAATTGTTTCCCCCACCTCATTATGGACGTTCAACCCCTGGCTACTTCATAGTCAGAGCCTCAATAGACTCAACTTGGAGTCGAGAGGATCTCAACTGACACGGCCATTCTTTTTGTATCCTTTACATCGCAGAGAGGTCTACACCCCACCTCTACATCGTGGTTCGTTCAGTGACCCACTCATAGATAGTGCCTCACACTCCTTCGTTTAGGTTATTGCTCCACCTTCGGGTGTTCGAATAGGAAGCCAGTTCCTATATTAGTTTATGTTGGGAAGGAGGTTATTTCCCCTATGAAATAGTATATTATTCTATTACACAGCATGTCTCAGGCTTCTGACATTTGAGAAGATCTAGGTCTCCCGCACTCCCTCCCCGGCACACAAGCCAGACCTACCTCCCCTACGGAGTTTAAAGACCCTGTTTCCCCGGGCTCACTATGATCTTGGACTATCCCTAAAATTTCAGCCCAGCTGTGTAGGCGAGGCATCCCTTTCTCAGCAACAGCCAGGAAGGCAGAGCTGTATCGATTATTGTCAGCTCAGCCAGGCACCCGCTGGGACCAAGTTCCTGCTCTCCTGCTGAAAACTTAGCCGAAATGCATTCCATGATTTCGTCCTTGGTGACTTCCATGCACTTGGTGAACCAAAGACTTGAAACATGGGAAACCCCAGCTGCAGGTGCCTCTTCTACTGCTATTGCTCCCCATCCAGGCTCTCAGGGTAATGTTACTCTAATCCCCCAACAGCCATCTCCACTCACATCACTCCTTCACACCTGGTGCCCACTGCCCTGCATAAAGACATTCTGGATGGGAAAGATGTCAACCTTGTGTCTCTGACATAGTTGAGAACAGAGCATTCTGCTACGGTTACATTTCAGCCACTCTCAAAGCCAGGGAACCGAGGTTAAACAAAAAAACTTTCCATCCCAGAATTCGTCTTGGCATTTAATTTATATAGGAACGTAATTTGCTCACAATGCCCTCATCGTAGAGAGGAGATGGATCTGTATCTACACAAATTGGTGGATTTTGGTCATGCATTCTATGACTACCATAGATCTTTCTCTGCTAAAGTGGCGGCAGCACTGGCCCAGTTCAACCTTCGTTCGGACTGGAGCAAGTTAGATACCAGACTGTTCTGTCACCACTTTGCAGGACTCAGACATTCATCATGTGCCATTTGTGCTTCCATTTATCACTCCACCAATCTGTGTTCCATTGAAGCAAACTCCTACCACTAGTCAAGCCTCATCTGGTAGCTCCAAACCCAAACAACGATGACTGGAAGATAAATTGGGCAGACCTATCGCGTTCCTCGGTAAGGCACAGATCTGTAATAACTTCTGCACTGGCAGTTGCGGCTTCAGGGTTTGCCATCTGTAGCACATCTGATGCACGTGCTTCCGAACTCATGCTAGGTCCATGTGCCCAAATAGGTTGTTCCCCAAAAAATGACGCACCAAGATTAGTATTGAGAACTTGGCTTTTCACCTAAAAAAAAATCACCCCTTACCTCATTTGGTGGACTTCATCATCGGGTTTCATGGGGTTTTCACACCGGTATCATCATTCCAGGATCACTGGAATGTCACAACCTGCAATTAGCACTTCTTGAACCCAACACCATAGATCAGCAAGAAATCACCCAGGGTTTTGTGTTAGATCCATTCACAAATCCCCCGTTGGCAAACTGGCGCACCAATCCAATTAGCATTGCAAACAGCAAATTCACTAATAAAGAGATTGATTATTGGCCTCTCTGCTCCACATTATTCTGTCATTCTCAGCATCAACTCAGTAAGACGTTTATGAAAAATGCGTTTTAACTACTTCCTATTATTCCATCACTATAGCATCTACATGGAGTAAATGGGGAGTAAAATACTACTTTGCTACCAGGATGACGTTTGGGGCCAAAAGCAGCTCTTTGATGTCTTTGTGGACACCCTATGTTGGCTTCTTCTCAACATAGTCCAGTTGTGATCAACTACCTGGATGACTTCTTGACAATTGAGGATGGGTCAATGGTTCTGCAAAGCCTGAACAAGGCACAGGCTTTGTTTTCCTGTCTAGTGGTTCCACTTTCACAAGACAAGACCGCTGGACCTACTACTTGCCTGGAATTCCTTGGTATTCAATTGAATACAGTCCGCTTAGAGGCTAGCCTCCCTGTGGACAAGCTCATGAGAATCAAAAATGATGTGCATGAATTCATGAGGGTTGTAGCTTGTTCACAAAAAGACTTACAATCTTTATTGGGCACTCTTAACTTTGCCATGCAGATCATCCCTCAGGGTCGGTCATTTATTTCTAGGCAATTTTGCCGCCTACCTGGTGCCCTGGGTAGCCACAGCAGGATTACTCTGGAATGCCGCCGCAAGACTGATTTTCCTCTCTAGTCGGTCCTTTCCCACCTCACCGCTCTGTCAGTCCTTACATTGGCTTCCTGTATCCTATAGGAGTCAATTCAAAGTGCTAACCCATACCTATAAAGCACTGAACAATTCTAGCCCCTCTTATATCTCTTAACAGATCCATAGGTATGCCCCTCCTCATTCCCTCTGCTCTGCCAATGACCACCTCCTGACCGCTGCTCGCACCCGTACGGCCAACTCGCGCTTGCAGGACTTCTCGCAGGCAGCTCCCTTCCTATGGAATAGCCTGCCTACCCCCATCAGACTCTCCACTCGTCTTCAATTATTTAAGAAGTGCCTTAAAACACATCTCTTTAGGAAACTTATGACCTCCCAGAGTAACCTCTACCTTACACACCTGTCTCTTGCTCTCTCTCCTATAGGGCAGCACTTTACTCTCTCCTCCAGCCCTGCATCACTCCCACCTTATTTGACTGATAATTCCTGTCATAATGTGTTTTATACCCCACCTCCTATAGACTGGGCAAAAGTAAAGTTTGCCGCCCCCCCATGTGACTTCACAATGCCCCACCCATATGATCTGCCATGTTAACTAACGCCAGGCCGTGTTTACATTAAAAGGCCTGCAGGGACAGGCTATAGACACCAGAACCACTACATTAAGCTACAGTGGTTCTGGGGACTATAGTGTTTCTTTAATGTGAGGTAAATTAGAGATTAGTGCCACGAATAATATACTAGATTGCCTACTTACAACCAGATGAGGATGATGGGCTCTAGCTACAGTCTGGCTCCACTGGTCTGGTGTAGAACAGGCTCTCTGGAGGTGGTTTGTAACTGTGGTCACAAAAATCAATGTTCTGGGAGAACGGGAAGCAGCTCCATTTTTGGGGGGCCCTTTACACAGCTCAAGGTCTGGGTTCCAGTGTCCACCTTCATGTTCCACCAATGAGTTTGTTCACAGGAGGTGGAGTGTGTAGGGAATGTCCTGATATGTGTGCAAGGAATGCATTGTGTAAATCTGTGTTTGTATGTGTAAGGGCTGCAAGGTGTGTTTCTGTGTATGTACG